GTATATTTATTTAAATACTTTAATCCCTGCTTTTCTGTTTAAAAAGCACTCAATTTGCATTAACTTTTGAGGTTTTTTTGCCTGAGAGATTCAGCATTAGGTGTTGTTTCATCTGGATTGAAAAATAAAACATTGGGGACTTTCCTGTCCTTTCTTTGCTTCTTATACATGTGCACGTGAGCCAGGGTGATATAGTGATTAAGGTGCTAGACTAGGAATGGGGAGACGCAGGTTCTAGTCCTCCCTCAGGCACAGAAGCCAGCTGGGTGACTTGGGACCACTGTTTTGCAGCTCTGACCTGGAAAGTTGAAACATGTCTATCTGCTAACCCATGTTGGACTAGTGTGGTGAATGAAGAAGAGGCCTTGCAGTGGACTGATTTGTGCTGATAATATATAAATAAAAATACATAAATAAAAAACAATCAGACTTTGCAAAAAGAAAACCATTGCCTTCCAGAACTTTCTGAAAGTAATTGTTTCATATTGTGTGGTTATTAGAACCACGTTAAAACTATTAGATAGATTTTTCAGTCCTTCACCATTTCATTGTAAGTATGGGAGTTTATAATGTAAACAAGGAGTGCTGGAATTAAATATATCATCATCAGCCTGGTCACCAGAACTTTACCTATGAATGAGCTGACTATACCATTGCAGAGATTCTCCATCCAGGGCCTCTTCCATTTGACTGAATATAATGGGTTTGATTCATACAAAGTGGTCCTTAAAGTATCATAGTTTCACCTTATTTAACAATAAATTGCCTCCATTCTGAGGACTATAGGAGGGCCCATTCTAGAGTGATATTTTGTCCTGTCTGGAATCACTTTCCCTTGTAAAAAAATGTATGAATCAATAGTACTTGTAAACTTTTTAAAAACAAATTCTGATGCATTTTCAAGCAATCATTTTTCCTTGGAATGCTTAGCTGGGGGCAAAACAGTTTTTCCTTGACTATTATATGGACTGAGCAAATGTATGTGGAATTTACTGATGATCTTAATAATTCATACATTTCTGAAGTGATGTAACTCTAAAAAAGCTGACATGTTCTTATAACATCCTAAATTGTATGTATGTCTCACTGGGAGCCAGCCAGCACTTCCTGTGCGACTTGTTCTTTTACTCCAGAAACTCAAATACATAGAAACAAATGCAGTCTTACTTTGTTGTTGTTGTTCACTTCCTAAACTAAAAGCATGTGCATACCTACCCAACTCAAAGTCTAGCTGGCCAGGCTATCTTGGAGTTCCAGAAGAACCAAAGCAGGTACGTATAAGGTAGCTTGTTTGATGTAATGTCTCCAAAGAACTATAGTTCACATGCATTTATACATCTTCCAACAAGTTCATCAAAATTTGGCCAGTCCCATCTTGGCAATTTTCTCATATCTCCTGGTACTTTTCCACCAGACTGCCATTGACTCATCACTTGATGTTTCAGGAATCATCTTTTGTTATGAGAGTGGGAACCACATCTCCCATATATTGTTGTGTCTTCATCAAAATCATCATTCATCACATGCAACATAAGCTGAGATCTTCCTGAACAAGTCTTTTTTTAAATCTGTTTTGAGTGGTCTTATATACTCCATCTTTCACACATGCATGTATAATGATTGGCATTATATATTAGTAAGCATATACTGGCATTAATATAATGATACATGGTTAAGTGATGGATTATATGTAGTTAATATTCTAGTATCTATCTCTGTAGCAAATACTGCCTTTTTCACTTATATATGTTGCTAAGGCCACTTCTCAATATCTGTGCTAGGGAAAGATACCACCATTCCAGATAGCACATTCCACTCTTGCTTATATGACATAAAGAACACTCATCTGAATGGACACACTGAAATCCAATATTCTCTTCGCTGCTCCCCCTCACTAGCACTTCTCCAAAGATCTGCAGCACCTTGAAGCTCCAAATTAGGAGCAAAGATGTTCTGAACTAGTTTTGCTTTTCAAGAAGTCATTGAAAATCTATCTGAAATATTTAAGATTCATCTGAATCTAATACACATGGACACTGATTATATCAGTAGTCATGAAATTAGTGGTCTGCCAAACTGTAGCTATTATTTAGAATAATATATGTTATTTTATAACAATATAGTTCAAAGTTTGCCAAACTTTGAGGTCTTGTGACTTTCCTTAACTCCAATGGGATAAAAATGAAGACTGCCATGACAAATCGTGGAGAAAATGCTTGTATTTCATATTCATGGTTAAAATGCTCAGTTTTCAGTAGAAAAACTTAATCTGATTTGGTCTTGGACTAATGAAATTACCTTTATATTTAATCTCCATGTCTTATTTCTTTAAGAGAAAAAATTTACAACCTATAAACATTCTGTAAACCTTGAAAGCTGGCAGCTTCTAATCAGGTTGTTCTGAAAATACCCGTATAACTTTTTTCATAAAAAAGAAAGAAACAGCAACTTCCACGTACTTGAATACTCTCCAAGGAAGTAAAAGACTCCTGTTTGTGATTGGCCTTATTCATCTTACAAATTAATAGACATTCAACCATGCATTTTTGCTATGAAATTAAACTTCATAAATGTGCCCATCAGAGTTCGACACCTTTCTAAAAGCCTTGCAAATTTTGGACCAACAGCACGTCCCACAGCAAGTTGCCTCTTGGTGTAGAAAGAATATGTTCATAACTTAGCCTTAATCAATTTCATGGCAGGTGTCTGAATTGCCTATGAAAGAGGGAGGAAAAATTATATTCCCCCTTTTCCAAGCCATATATAGTTTTATAAAAACTTCATTCTGTGCCTTTTTTCATTGAGGCAAAACCTTCTTTCCTTCCTCCCTTCTGACCCCCGAAGAGTTCTGAATGAGTTCTCCATTTTTTCCAGTTCTGTGATAATTTTTCCCCTTAGAAATTGGAATGGCTAGAACCAAAAGCAATGTTCATGTGAGATTGAGTCATTGTTATGTAAAGGCATCATATGACAGATCCCCTTATTTCCAGTCTCTGTTCAGCTAATTCTTAGGATTTGTTTTCCCTAAATTACCTCTGACCATTACATTCGACGGTGGGCAGTCTTACACAACTGTCAAAACTGCAAAATATTTATACTGATGAGTCACAGCCAGGCCAGACTTTGTACTGGAACTTTGTATTTGCTTTTCTGTAGCCCGTTTTTAGAAATCAGTTTCAAAGTACACTTTCGGAGCTTTTCGCATTCCAATTCAGATAAGATCGCCCCCAGACTGAGTAGCAAATGAGAACCGGGTACGACGCAGAGGCAATCCTCTGTTACGCCAACGTCCGATGACACGGACACACTCTCGTCACTGGCTTTCTCTGGGCTTATATAGGGAGAGACTGCCCTCTGCTGCCCCCGACAGCCAATCGTGCGTTACCTGGCCGAGCCTTGGTTGGGGATTGGTCGCTGCTCTTCCCCTCTAATGTGCGGTCTCTATCACGCGCCTCTTGGCTTTTCCTGCCGGTGTTTGAAGGGGCGTGAACTGCTGGAGGTGCAGGTATGGAGAGGGCGCGTGTGTTTGTTTGCAGCTACCAAGCGGGGAGAGGAGGGGGTGAGAAGAGGAAGCGGGGGGTAAGAATTGGGACCGCCCCAATGAAAGCAAATGGAGAAGTGAGCGAGTCTCCGGGGAAATGGCTGGGAGGTGGAAACGCACTGATTTTCTCGTGTGTTCTCTCCACCCCCAGTTCGAGGCGAGACTTCCGGGAAGAAGATGAATCTGGCGGAGGTGCCTTTTTACACGGAGCTGCTGTTATAACCTGAGAGTGCCGAAAAGGTGAGCTCTGCCGTTACTGGGACAGGAGAAGGGGGAGAGGAGTTAAGTCTGGGCTCGGGGACCAGGTGGATAAGACGGGCCGGCCTTGAATTCTTACTTAAGTTGGCCAGAGGACGCTGTTCTGTGATTTGCATGGATGCAGGCTCTGTTTACTCGGAGGTAGACTCCGCTGAACTACGTAGGCCTTCTTCCAAATTCCCTGCCGTCTCTGTTCGGTTCAGAGGAGGCTTCTTCTCTTTGTCGAGATCGGTTTGAGTGGGGCCGGGTAGAAGGCTGGCTACTGGCTCTAGGGCAGTGTTTCTCAACCTTGGCAATTTGAAGATGTGTGGACTTCAACTCCCAGAATTCCCCAGCCAGTATGGGGAATTCTGGGAGTTGAAGTCCATACACCTTAAAGTTGCCAAGATTGTGACATACTGCTGTAGGGCTTTTCTGAACCAAGCTGAGTAGTTTAACTCTGATTTAAAAAAACAAGTTCTTTGGAGGCAAGGCCTTTTGGGTATATAATTGCAAATAAGGTAGCCTCTTTCTTTTCTTTCAGGTTTTCATGGTTGTGGTCATGCATAGGTTTTTCTTTAAAATAACCTTGCGCTGGGGTGATTCCATGATTTCCTTTCTTAGGGTTTTAGGCTTTCTTATTTTACTTAATAGAAACCATGGGAGGGTGTTGAATCATGGGATATAACGTTTGGTCAATTTCTTGAGAAATAATCTCATCTGAAGGGTCAGTGGGGTTGCAAAATGTAAAAATAGAGTAGTTAGGGGTGAATAAGTAAATCAATATTGTCAAAGGATTTTTTTTTCAATGACTATGTTAAAACAAAATCTAGTAGTTATATTTATATAAATACTGAGGTGCTCTTTTCTTTGCGGGTAAACTTTTGTATTTGAAGTGAGGAAAAGGAGGGTGAGATAAAAAGCAAAAGAAGTTAAAGACATGATGTAAGAAAAAGAAACATAGTTAAAAGTATATTACACCAGTGCCATGTACTGCACCTTTTGGAATCTTTCTGTCCTATTTTTGCTTCCACCATGTCTATATGCTGCTTCATACATTTGTCTTTGTTATTTAAACTTCTCACCTTTTCATTCACCTTCGTTTTCAAGATATCAACTACACCCAATCATAACTTTCTCAATCTTCTCCTTCGTTTACCTGCTTCATTCTTTTTGTATGTACAAACCACCTCTTTCATACTGGCCACTCACTTTCATGCTGGCCACTCACTCCACCCATACTTTCTTGACCTAATCTCTTTTTTGTTTTACCTACACACTTATGTGCCCCATTCCTGCTCTATTCAGCTTCTTATATGTTTCTCCTGAAATGCCCAACTCTCATGTCCACTTAATGAAGCATCTTTTTATATCCATCTAGTTTTACTTCTTTCAGAGACGTTGTTTACACTGTAGCACATACCACTAAATACCTATCAGTCAGCATCTGTATGTCTTAAAATCTTCTGTACCCCTCATTGCATCATACAGTATTGTTCACTGGAGCCAACCATACACATGATCTCCATAGAAAAAACATGTACATTTGTGTGACCACAAGTATTGCTTATAACTGTGTTAAACAACCAAGGCAATATCACACATCCTTGTTTACTCTCTCATCAGTACTAAGAATTTCATCTATTTGCATGTATGCTTTATTTTCATCATAAAGTATTATTGTATTCAGTAACCAACCTGCAACTATGTATTTGTGCAAAATGTTCCAAAACCCAAGTCTACTGACTATCATATGCTTTCAAATGTACAATAAACTTCTTTTGTCACACTCATACATTTTTCAGTGAAGTTATATTTATGTACATTATATGAAAGGTATATTGTAATGGATGGGTACTGACCACCAGTCTAATGGAGCAGACTTCCTCAGTGTGGAACCCTCCAAATATTTTGAGATTTTAGCTGCCAGAATTTCTGGTCAGCTTAGCCAATTTGCAGCTTTACCTAGGAAATTATGTGGTTAGTCTGCTAACAGTTACTTCATGATATGGATAGCTTGCCAAATGTATACTAAAACTATTATTTAATAGGACTGCTAGATCAGGACTGCAAAGGTTGAGGCAGCCACTAGATGGCAGTAAAGAGTCAGGGTTTTCTGTGCCTCTTTGCTGTCATCTGGATGTTTGCAGCCTAGATCTGGTAGCCATACTTTTATCAGTGAACATGGTTGCAGACAGATGAAATGGATGAAAGGCCCCATTCAGATCTCCACTTTGCCAGCAATTCTGAATTGTTGTGGCTTTCAGAATAAATGGGAATGTGTCATCCATATGTGCTCAGAATGTGATGTTTTGCTATGTGTTTGGGCCTTAAGGGATGACACAGAAAGTATCTAAAGAAATGTTTTCTGTTTAATAGGTTAATTCTCTTCTACAAATGTATATCATAGATATATTCCTCCACTTAGTTCCCAGCTTCTTTTTTTTTTTTTTAAATAAGATGTGAATTATTCTCCAGTACTGAATTACACCCCTTCATGGATCACTGCCTTGTCGTGGCGAAGGGGCTTGTGTAACTCAATGAAGCCATGAGCTATGCAGTGCAGGGCCACCCAAGACGGACAGGTCATGACAGAGAGTTCTGACAAAATGTGGTCCACTGGAGAAGGAAATGGCAACCCCCTCTACTATTCTTGCCAAGAAAACACCATGGACGATGTCAAAAGGCTAAAAGATAGGATGCTGGAAGATGAGCCCCTCAGATTAGAAGGTGTCCAATATGCTACTGGGGAAGAGCGGAGGACAATTCCAAATAGCTCCAGAAAGAGTGAAGCGGCTGGGCCAAAGCCAAAAGGACATTCGGCTGTGGATATATCTGGGAGCGAAAAGAAGGGCCGATGCTATAAAGAACAATATTGTATAGGAACCTGGAATGTAAGATCTATGAACCAAGGCAAGCTGGATGTGGTCAAACATGAGATCACAAGATTGAACGTCGACATCTTGGGAATCAGCGAATTAAAATGGATGGGAATGGGTGAACTTAATTCAGGTGACCATTATATCTACTACTGTGGGCAAGAAACCCTTAGAAGAAATGGAGTAGCACTCATAGTCAATAAGAGAGTGGAAAAGGCAGTAATGGGGTACAACCTCAAAAACGACAGAATGATCTCAGTGCGAATCCA